CTCCATTAATAAAGTTTTCCTTTAATAATGACAAACTATTAATGACCAACATGTTCCTTTATTGAAACCATTACAAATTAATTATTCGATAGGCCTGCTATTTAATGTTTCACATTCACAGTGTAATGAAATATATTTAAGATTTGCATATATATTTGGATGGGTTTCATAAAAATGGTGAACAATATAAATTACATTAATTCCTTTATGTCTACCTAATCTAAAGAAAGATATTATTTTCAGTTGTGTTGCTAAAACTTCATCAGTAATATTATCAAAGATTATAAGAGTGACTCAACTTGTTTCTTTAAAAAATAAAATGTCAGGTAACTTTTCAGATCCTATTAGCTTGAATCTCACAGTTTCGTATCATGGAGCTTGCTTATCCATAGCTATAGATTCATAAAAACATTATACCACTTCCTATAACTCTTCATCTTGATGTTGCGCAACAACAATTAGACCATTACACTGAATATACCTTTTACCAAAATTTTTGATTCCTTCTTTTGATATATTATAACTATGTTTTTCACCAGACATCCACAGATATATTTTTAGATATTTACTTTCTAGGAGCAAATGTATTACTATACTCATCTTTTCAGACTCAGAGGTGCCCACAACCAATAATCTAAATGGATGTCTAGGTGCAAATTGATTCTGTTTTTTTGAAGATACAGTTTTGTCTAATTTGCATAGTTCGTAATACTCCATAGTATATTGAAAAGTAGAACAATTATTTAAGAAATATATTTTGTTATTTGCAATGTCTAAAAGTTTTCTTTGAATGATGCAATAAAGATAGCAGAATCTTATGGAGGAAAATGCCTTTCCAAAGAATATATCAATTATGAAATTCCAATGTTTTGGAAATGTAGCGAATACCATCAATGGAAGTATTCTTTTTGATCTATCAAAAATCGGCATTCATGGTATCTGTACTGCTCAAATAGAAAATTCAATATTTCAGTGGCCAAAGAATTGGCATTTCATAATCACAGTTTAAAAATTAAAAATAAAAACCTAGTGGGATAATTTATTAAAATAAAAAAAATGAATGGGTTTATTGCATAGATTGTGACAAGCAATCACAATGTCACGTGACTATTGATTTATCAGAAACCTTGGTCAATAAGATTACTTCTTGGCAAAACTGTTTTCCTGGGAAACGATCGGAAAAAAATTTTATAACTCGAAGAGTTGTCCTAAAGGACCTGATACAATAAATAATATTACTTTTTTATCGGTATGAATAGAAATAGTACAGACATTGGTATATACATGTGATATTTTTTTATCTTCTGTGAGATTACTCAATGACCTATGCTAATTCTATGGTCTAGCTAACTACTTAACATTTACGTGATTTGGAAATTCGTTCAGCATTCTTTGTAGAATGTCTATAAAATACATGTTTATTAAGTATAAGAAACTAGGATTACAAGAAATAGAAATTTGAAAAAATATAGATTCTTACACAATATATCTATCTAGTAATTGAGATAATTTGACCTGTTCCTCGTCAAAAAGCTTTCTCTTCTTTTTTACATCCACCCGACTTGCCATCCCAAAGTCAATCAGGTATATGTCACCATTATCGTTAATTAAGATGTTTTCCTCCCGAATGTCATTGTGAAGGATGCCACACTTGTGAATCGTTTCTAATCCCTTGATAACATTTGTCCTTTGTTGCTCCATTATTTTATGATCGCTCAACATAGTGCCGACAATGGTCATGCTGATAATGAAACTCATACCTCCTCTATAATATCCATAACAAATCAATTTTGGAATATACTTGCCTTGAATATTAGCTAGATCTTTATAAATCTCGACTTCTTTCTGCATTTCTTTCAAGACATACGATGGGGCCTTTGATAAGTCTACGCTCTTCAAAGCAATTGTATCACCACGAAACTCACATAGGAGCATTTTACCACTGCGTCCTTCACCCAGTATGCCCTTAAACTTGAAATCCGTAAAGCCAAACTTTTGCTGGATCACAGAGATGTTAGAAGATGATTGTTGATTGCCGGAAGTTGGTTGTTGATTTAATGATAAGCTGGATGGTGATTTTGAGTGTGATCAAAGAAGACGTGAATTGTTGTCCCTGTGAACTGGTACTAATACTTGAGGTTTAGGTGACTTGGGATTCTTTCTCACCTGTCGAGTTAGATAAGCATATGCCTTAAGTACAGGTGGAGATTTGGATTGAAGTGAAAGGGTTTTTGAGATCCAGAGCTCCGTGAGTTCTCGACATAGAAACCAGTGATTGTCGTAGATGATAAGAATACCATATCTAAGTTCGTTTTCTCCCATAAATTATAGATTTGTTAAACCACATTCTTGCTTTTACTTGTCTTATAAAACTCGGGAAATGTCTCTTAGCCCATACCCTCTAAAATATGCTTTCTTTTAGCTTCAATCACCAAGATCAATGAATCCACAAGATGACAGTTAAAATCTGATATGCCTGGAATGTAAGTCGAACATTTTGAAAAATCATATTCCGGTCCTATAAGCCTATTTAACGCCAAACAAATATTGACATTAATGGCAACCCAAACATCCTCCTCATTTAATACCACTTTATCCTAAATAAATTGTGGCCTCTCGAATCTCGGTTGTTGGTCAAAACAGAATTGATTTACTTTCTCAAAAAAGTCTGCTCAAAGCTTTACGCTTGCTGGCAGGACACCATTGACCTTTGTAGTGGTCTTCGATTTAATACATTTCGGGGAATATTTTACTGATGGTGGAATACACGACAACGCCTCTTCCAGACTAAGAACTAGAAACGAAGGCTTGTTAAGATAATGTTATGAGGAGAATAATGAAAAATCACACTGTACTAGACCTCCAGACACTTACAGGGCGACTTTACAATAATATGGATATGTTTTTTAGGTGGTTTTTCAGGCCAGTATTTTTCTATATCTCTCGTTGCTAGGAGTTCGTGATCTAATGTGGGGTTGACTAATTCAGAATCGTGATCGTCAGGGATTGAGACCTTCCATAACTTGAGATCTTTAGCGTCAACATCAGCGAAAGTTTGTGTTTGCTCTGCCTTGATAACTTTTTTGAGATAGCTAATGAACTTGTCCACCTCTATATCGATCCCGAAAGCATTCGATATTGTATTTCCTTTGACGAGACAAAATAAAGTGATAGGCATGTTTACGGAATTTAACGAATATGCAATCTTAGGTAACACAGATTACACAATCAACGATCCATTAAAAATAAAATTCCTAGAGAGGCATATACACAATAGTCATCGATTGGCTGGAATCACAATTGAATCATCACCCATAGTCAATTAATTGGAATTTTGGGGTTTATATACTGGTTAAAGTATGGTTTAAATAATGTTGAAAAAGTAATAAATTATACAATATATCGTAATATAATCACGGATATGCGGTTAAAGTACTGTCGAAGTACAGTTAAGACACTTGTAAAAACAGCACCTTCTCGTGATTTCTCACTCGAAGCCAGATATATATAGTAGTTAACGAGACAGAAATATATATCTTTTTTCCGAAAGATAAAGAAAAACAAAGGGCTCTGCTATCGAACCTCAAAATCGTAAAAATGGGTCGATACTCAAATACGTATTCTCATCGATGAGCATAGAAATAGAAATGAAAAATATTATAATCTTGAAAGGAATCGAATCAGATTTTGAAATAGCATTGCAACCAGAATTAATCAAGAGCATAACACGAGCTTTAATGGCATCAATGTAAAGAAAAATTTATGAATCTTGTTCGGGATTACAATTTAAGTATGGCATAGTAAGAATTTTATCAGGATCAGATTTTTTTTTACTTATGTCTTAGCTAGCATGGCTAATAATTAATATCAATTAGGCAATGTGTGATTATATGGCAGGGAATCAAAGAGTATGAAGAAGTCGAACAGATGTGCAATATTTTAATGATAAATTCGATAGAATCCATATAATTAATACATCAAACCATAGGCAAAATAGAGATGTGGGAAATATAACACCAGCACCATCTATTGAGGAAGTTGAGCATGAATTAAGTATGTGATCCTCTGTTAGACGTACAAACAGAAGTTCATCTATTACTAGTAGGAGGAATCTAAGGCAATCACCCTATTTATCTTTACCCCGTGATCCAATAAACACTAGGAAATGGAAACCATTGTAAGTCCGAAGCTAATAATCATGTGTTACACATATGAACAGACAGAATTCATACGTGACCTATATTTTCACCAAGAATCATAAACACTCCATTGTAAGTCCGAAGCTAATAAAGTTTATTATTTACTTTTTATTAATTATTGTTAATTAATTAAAAAAAAAAACCAAGAATCATAAACATAAAATGTCCTTTGCTTTGCTTTGGACAAAAAATTTGCTAGTTCAAAACAAATAAATAATGATTATATTAAAATGACCACGTGTGTTGTTTTCAGATTATAATGTGTTCCTTCTATATTTAGATCTTATGCACGATCTATATGATCAATAGATATCATGGGAATTTTAGGTATATAAATGCTTTGGTTCGTAAAAAATTTTTTCACTCTTTTTCTTAAATACTTCACAACCTTTTTTAAATACTTCAAAAACTTCACTATCTTTTTTAAATACTTCGCAACCTTTCTTAAACACTTCACAATTTTCCTTAAATACCTTGCAACTTTTTTTTAATACTTTACAACCTTAACTTTCTAATAACACACGATGGGTATATGAGGTCTTTATAACTCTGTAACAACATATAGTATAAATAAGTCAACAATATCTTTAATAACACAACATGTAGCAAGTTAACAAAATCTACAAGAGCACGAGAGAAACAAGCAAGCATAAGTTTAATAATTTGTTTTTCAAGTTAATAGGTAATAAAAAAGACAAGTCGAAGCAAGATTTTGACTAGCTATTTTTTGTTGCCGAACTGGGATCTGAGACTCCCATTTCCGTGTCGTGTAACTGTATTCGAGGGAACAACAGTAGTAAGCTATCTTCCTATCACCCACGGTATGTGTGTAGGACACTGTAAAACGTTGTATCTCCAGTATCCTTTGTCATTCTTATTATGCATAGATTACAGATTACTGAGAATAGGTTGAGCTAAAT